CAGTGCTTGTTTCTGTGACTCTGTAGTTTTGCTGCTGCTGTCAGGTTCTACCAGAACCCTGATGTGTTCTTCCTCCTAAGCCTCATGTGTCTGTTGATGAAGTTCTGAGGCTCAGAACTGATGGAAGCTCTTGGACCTCTACGTATTCACAGGTCTCCCTTCTCCCTCCGTTTTACCACCAGGCTCATCTCCAGACTGATTCCTTCTGTGTGGTTTCAGGTTGATTGATTCTTCACGAGGCGCCGAATAAATGCCGGAACCATAAAACTTTACGGGTCACCCTGCGCTCGGCTTGTTAACTTTTCAAGGTGACAACATCTGAATATTCCGACTCGGCGCATTTTTTAACCTTTGATTTGCTCTCCGACTTTTACAGCCCCGCCGCCGCTAATTTGAATTCCGCCGAACTTGGTGATGAATTGCGAACTTGATCCATTGTTTAAGCGGGTGAGCGGGTTTTAAATTAACACGCGATTTGGGATTCGGCGCACGCGGCGGCGGCTCGGCGGCGTTCTTCCTGTGTGGAATTAAAGATGAAGAAAACATCAGCAGCACTTCATCACTAGAAGTGCTGCTGATGAACTGAATTGGGGTGAAAGTCATGATCTGGTATCAGGGATCTATAGCAATCAGCACGGGGAGGTAAGAAGGAGCAGGAGGAGGTTTTCAGACGAATGTGAGGAGAAGCAGCTCGATATCAGCCGGATGCTCGTCTTACATGCAGCACACATGAGTTACTTTATCCGGCGGATCGGATTCCTGGCAGGTAAATAATGTGAGCTGCTGCAGCCGAGGATGTTTGTTTGCTATCGTGCATCTCAATGTGCTGCTAATAAAAGGTCAAACTCTGCTTCTTCCCTTGTTTTTCTCTCTCTGCAGTTTCGCTGCTGCGGCGTAACGAACCACACCGACTGGTTCGAGGTGTACAACGCCACCCGAGTGCCCGACTCCTGCTGCCTGGAGTACAGCGACAACTGTGGCCTGGACAACCCGGGGACCTGGTGGACGGCGGTAGGTTGGTTTAGATCGTTTGGAAACAGGAGTGTTGATTGGACAGGTCCTCACACACAGCAGACGTCCACACTGTGAATAAAACTAAAAATAAAGGTGAAATTCTGGCAGCAAGCGAGCCAGAAAACATCAAAACAACAAATGGTTTAATACTGTGATGCTGAGAAACTGTAAAACAGCAAATGTCAGATTTTGCTATTATTCATGTGACTGAAATACAGTAAATACAATAATTTCACACCTACACACTGTAAAAGAATTGATTACTGTTTGTAAAAATATAGATTTCGTTTTCTTTTTACAGTCAACATGTAAATTAATTTGAAAATATTTAGCAAAACAAAGAAAATGTGTAAAATACCAGTTAGAAAATTATTTCACATCTTTAAATCCTTGATGAAAACATTTTTCCTTCAGCAAATATCTGTAAAATAATATTTATTTGATGTTTTAAATCCAGTAAAACTGTCATTTTACAGTCAGTCGAGAAATACTGTTTGTAAAAATGCAGATTTTTGATGTTGACGTTGTTGTTTACAGTTTTCACTTTTTTTATAGAGTAAACATGTAAATCAAACTGAAAAACTGTTAATTCATTTTTTTTATTTTTTTTTTTTACAGCTGTTACTTATTTTGTTAAAAGACAGAAAATATCTGGTAAAATTATGGGAAAAAAATATGAATTCCTACATTAAAAAAATAAAATGGGCCAAAATAATATGTAGTGTTCACATCAAAAATCTGTATTTTTACAACTGGTAATTAGATTTTTATTTTGATTTTACTGTATTTTAATCAGCAGACATATTGTGGATTTATTAAAAAAAAAAAAAAAAAAGTGTTTTTTAAAAATTGTTTTTAAACTTTATGTATATTAAGGGCTGAATTTTTTAAAATTAATTTTCCTAAACTGCTATTTTACAAATTTTCTCACTTTTTTGGCAATTTAGAAATAATATCGAAAAAAATCATAAAAGAAAATATGAATGTAAATGTCGACTGTAAACAAAAAGAAAATTGAAAAAACAGGCCAAAGTTGTAAATAACATCAAGATTTTTAAAAATCTACATTTTTATAAATCAGAACTTTTTCTTGTACAACGTGTGACCGTTAAATTACAGTTTTTCTGTTTTTAAATCAGCACAAACATCCATGTCCTCCAGATGTCTGCTGATATTTTACGGGTTCTGGATGTCACCACATTCACTATTCTTCTAACGTTGTTTTTCTGGCGTCCTCGCTGCCAGATTTACATTCTGTTAACGATTTGTCTCATATTTCATTAACATCTGGTTGTAACGACGGAAAGCCGAATCCCTTCTTAATCCAAAATCATACCAGGACCAGATCGATACCTGATGCATTTATTCGTTCCCTCCCGGAAGATTCACAATTCAAGGATCCAGCTCTCTCCTGAAAAACAACTGGGCTCATCAATATTTAAATTCAACAAAATCATTCTTCAGCATTAAAAAAAAAGAAAGAAAAGAAGCGTTTGAACTTTGGCTGTGCAGCTCTCGGCCTGCAGCAGCAGGACTCAGATTTATATTCATCACTGCTGAGGTTGAATTAATCACTTCTGGACCGACTGCTGCTGTAACGTCTAATTAGTGGCATATTTCTATGTTTTCAGCTGCTCAGCTGCTGTTTTCCTGTTTGGATGATACGAAGGATGTCAGGTGCCAGATGAAAAGGCAGGTTTAGATTCATATCGCTCACATTTACGGCAATTTATGCTACTTTACTGCAGCAAAACACTGATAAAACCGGTTTAAATCCTCCGGGTGAGGCGGAAAAACGGCTGAACGGAGTCGCATGTTAATGAGTGAAGCTCGTGGGAGATGTGAGCATCAGTCAACACAGATGTGCAGGTTAATGAATATGCAGCTTCGCCGCTCGGACGCCGTGCAAATGGATTAATCTGCGCGTGATTTAGCGGCGCGGGAAGTCGCTGCTGCTGCCGCCGTGGAGTTAATTGAGTGTGTTGAGATAATGTGTGGGGACAGCTGGTATTAATTACACATCGTTCAGCGCTGGAATCGCTCCACCTACCTGTGACCTGTTGGTAATCTCAGAGCTTTAACTCTCATCATAACAGCGACTCGAGAGCGACCGCCTGCTCTCAGAACCTCGACCGGCCGCTAACGAGATTAGCGCCAGTGGCTTTGAAATGAGTGCTAACGCTTTAGCGCCAAATCCAAGAAGAATATTTCAGGTTTAATCTTTGCGCTGATTCTCCTGCTTCAGATCTGAGCTCTGAGAAACTCCAGATAAATAATGTAATAATCACATCAGGACATGAAGCACGGCGGTGGCAGCATCAGGTATTCAAGGAACCTGGAAGAACTTTTAAGAACTTAACTTTAGAGATCAGGTTCGTGGAGAAACTTTACTGAGACTATTTTTAAAAGCTTTTTATTCATATTTCAACGTTGACATAATAATACTGCTTCGTTTTATGATAAACCTGAACGTATTCTAAGGGTTAATTATACTGAAATACATAAAACATTTCTTTAAAAGGTCTCACTTACATTTATTAACATAATGATGAATTATTTTAGGTTGTAGTTTTTTATGGTAATTAATTGTGGAACTCATTGGAGATGTTAGCGAGTAAATCCAAGTTTAGGACGCCAACATGAGCTGTAGTCTGAGTGACGCCTCCTCTGGTCCCTAAACAGGAAGAGGCTCCACCTGGTGGAACAACCAGGTACTGCAGCTGGTCTACGATATGACGTCACGACCTTCTTCTGCTTTTGCCGTGTCGCTCAACATGTTTTTAATCGGTTAAATTATTATCAGTAACACCTCTAGTTGGTGATTATAGATGAAAGTTTGCATCGTTTTAGGTGCAAATTCCAGAGATTTAATAACAATAATGACTTTATTTATATAGCAGCTTTTAAACCGACAGAAAAAGGAGGAAACTGAGAACGACATGAAGCCAGAGGTAAAAAAAAAAATAGAGAATTTCACCACTAACTGATATAAATAGACGAATAAAAGCATCAAAAACGTCACATCACACTAAAGAACAATAATAAGAAAATAGAATATAAAGTAATAATCAGAATATTTGTATGTCATCCATCAGAAGAGTAAAAGAACATCGACCCAGCAGCTCTTTGTTTTCTTCAACAGGCTCAACTCTGGATAACGTCATTAGACTGGATTAAACCAGACTTTGTTAAACAGACTTCTGGGTTCATTTGTGGATCAGACGAGGTCTACAGGTAACTCATCCACATAAACAGCGTGTTCACCTGTCAGCCCGTTAGCGGCGTTAACGAGGAGCTGAGTTTACTGTAAATACAACCCGTGGTTCTGACTGTCTGAACATGTAGATGTGTGGAGCGCCGAGCTTCACTCTGACGTCTGTTTCCTCTTCAGGTTTGAGGAAAGCTGCAGATTTGAAGCGACTTTGTGTTTTTAAAGACACGACTGTAGGTTAAAAAAAACACACAAAAAAAACCTGCTCGTGCATCAGCCGGCATCACGAAGGACATCAGAGCGGAGGAACCGGAGAGCCACGCCAACAAATAGACGCGTTTAGTGGAGAAAACATGTCAGAGCGAATCTAAATCACCATTAAGGAGGTTCTTCTCAGCGCAGGAACACAAGCAGACAACAGCAGCAGCAGGAAGATCAGGAAACACATCCAGGACATGAAGCGAGTCGTAGGAAGGAGAAGCTCTGATTTATACCAACAGCTCCATCACAGCCTCGTCTTCTACTCGGGGTTCCTCCACAGCTTTCCTCTGCTCACATTAACCTCAAATGTTTCCAAAATGCACTTTTTATTCATTATTAATCATCAGAAACTCACATTTTTATCGAACAACCAGTGAACTCATTCAGAACAAAAACAGTTAATTTACACTTTACAGTTCGTTAATCATAAAAAACAACCGTCCAGAACTCTAAACAACGTCCATCATTTCTCTGCTGAGAGGATTTGTTCGTGTTCAATTAAATCATTTTTGTATTTTAAAACAAATTCTAAAACATTTCTGGTATTTTTCTGTTAATAATCATCTGGAAGCTTCTATATATTATATTATTATAAACCTGTATTTTAAAGGTGAGTTCATTCGTAGGTTTATTTTACATTTATTTTTCACTGAATTACAAATAAATTAATACAAACTGCTGTTAGCACGCTGCAGGTCAACTGTTCTGTCACAGTTTTCTAATGTACCGTGTTTTAAGGTGTTTTTCTTGCTTCACTGCGGTCGTCCTATAAATAAACAGAACAACAAACCAGGTCCAGTGTTCAGACTGACACACCTGGACAGATGTAGATTTGTCCACAATGACTCAGAAATGATCCAAAATGAAACAAAATTTGCTTCGAATCACACAAAAAACTTCCAAAATGACTCAGACTTTGTTCACAATGAGTCAAAAATAATGCAAAGTTACAGAAAATGTGTTTAGAACGACACAAAGTTGACCAAAATGACTCAGAAGTGATCCAAAATGACAGAAAATTAGCTCAGAATGACATTAAAATGACAAAGAATTCTATTTAAAAAAATTAAAGCTGTCCTGAATGATTTCAGATTCTTCAAAATTACTCAATAATTGTCAATTATAGGGAAAAAAATGGTGCTGAACAGAAACCAGGTCCAGTGTTCAGACTGAGACGCCTGGATGGATGTAGAACTGACCACAGTGACTCAGAAATGATCCAAAATTAAAGAGAATTTGCTTAAAATCACACAAAAATTGTCCAAAATTACAAAA